CTCCCAGAGCCCGGGCTTGGTCCAGGCTCGCCTGGTGTGTTTACAAATTGTTGGGAAATTAAGGAAGAGTGATAGAGATGTAGTTATTATATTTTATCAGTAATTAAGAGGAAGACGAGAAGAAGAGAAGGAAAATGAGCAGGAGAAAGATGAGGAAAAGGAAGGAAGGAAGGAGTAGTAGTAGGAGAAAAAAAGGGAGAAAAGGAAAATATGTAAGAGAAAAAGGATAAAAATGGAGGAAATTGAAGGGAGGAGGATGAGGAGACGGAGAAGAAAAGAAAGTAAGAAAAAATTATGAAAAGTATGAGAAAAAAGACAAGAATAGAAAGAAGGGATGGAAAAAGAGGAAGAGGAACAGAAGAGAAAATAAAGTTAAACGAGAATAATAAAACGTAATAAAAATAAACAATTACAAAAAAAAAAAAATCCTGGTGAGTTCGTCAGAGGCCTCACAGACCAACTGACATTAGTACAAATCCCATAGATTTCGAAAAAGAAATGGACAACATGCCCAGTCACTCAGCACCTGGACCAGATTCATGCAATGTTCTGTAAAGAAGTGCAAAGTACCACTAGTACGAACCAGCACTCAGTATTCTTTAGATCCAGGTGAAATACCGGAGGTCTTGAAGAGTGCAGATATAGCTCCTTTGTGTAAGGGAGGTAGTAGAGCACTAGCTAAAACTTACAGACCAGTAGCCCTAACTTCTCACATCATAAATCTTCGAAAGAGTTATGAGACGGCAGGTTACAAATTTCATGGAGCAGCACAACCAACATAACCCGAGCCTTCATGATTTTAGAGCAGGACGATCATGTCTGTCACAGCTGCTGAATCATTATGACAGAATTACGGAGGCACTGGAAGACGACCAAAACACAGATGTGATTCACACAGATTTTGTAAAGGCGTTTGACAAATCCGATCATGGAGTGATAGCGCACAAAATGACGGCCATGAGCATTACAGGGAAGGATGGATTTTCGGGTTCCTAAGGCCTGGTCACAGACCGGGCCGCGGGGGCGTTGACCCCCGAAACTCTCTCCAGGTAAACACAGAGCAAGATCCAGCATCAGCGAGGTCAAAAGCTCAGTGCCCCAAGGCACTGTCCTGGCACCTCTGCTGTTTCTCATCGTCATAACAGACATAGACAAAAATACCCGTCACAGTTTTGTATCATCATTTGCAGATGACACTAAAATAAGCATGAAAGTCAGTACGGTAGAGGACACTGAAAAAGTACAGGAAGACATAAACAGGGTTTTCCAGTGGGCAGTGGAGAACAACATGACTTTCAATGGTGATAAGTTCCAGCCGCTTAGGTATGGAAAGAATGAGGAACTCAAAAGGAACACTATATACAAATCTCAAGAGGGTCACCAAATAGAACGTAAGGAACACGTGGAAGACCTAGGAATAATTATGTCAGCGGACCTTTCTTTTAAAGATTATAACAGGACAAAGATCACGACAGCCAGGAAGATGACGGGGCGGGTATTGAAAACTTTCAAAACGAGGGAAATAATGCCGATGGTGACATTCTTCAAATCGCTAGTGCTCCCTCACTTAGAATATTGCTCAGTGCTGACGGCCGCGTTCAAGGCAGGAGAAATAACAGAGCTGGAACAAATATAGAGATCATTTACGGCTCACATTGAGCCAGCAAAGCGCCTAAATTACTGGGAACGCCTTCAAGTCTTGAACATGTATTCATGTATTCACATGTATTCAGTACCTGGAAAGTACTCGAGGGCTTGGTCCCAGATCTGCACACTACCATAAGAACATATTGGAGTGAGAGATATGGGAGGAAGTGTAAAATAAACCCAGTGAGGAGCAGGGGTGCGGTGGGGACAGTAAGGGAACACTATATCAACATCCTGGGTTCCAGACTATTCAACATCTTACCAGAAGATATCAGAAACACTGCTGGAACAAGTGTAGAAACCTTCAGGAGGAAACTGGACAAGTATCTTCACCAGGTGCCAGATCAACCAGGCTGTGATGGATATGTGAGGCAGCGGGCCTCCAGCAGCAACAGCCTGGTTGATCAGGCAAGCACCAGACGAGCCTGGCCCATGGGCGGGCTCCGAGAGTAGCGTAACTCTCGAAACTATTCAAAGGTATATCAAAGGTATAAAGGTAAGGGGAGGCTGTCACGTGAGGTCAGGGAAAGTTGTCAGGGTAGGTTGCCAAGGGACGTTGTCATTGTAAGTTGCAAAGTAGGTTGTCAGGGGAAGTTGTCAGTGGAGGTTGTCAGGGGAAGCTGTCAGGTGAAGTTGTCAGTGGAGGATGTCAGTGGAGGTTGTCAGTGGAGGTTGTCAGGGGAAGCTGTCAGGTGAAGTTGTCAGTGGAGGCTGTCAGTGGAGGTTGTCGGTGGAGGTTGTCAGGAGAAGTTGTCAGTGGAGGCTGTCAGGGGGAGGCTGTCAGGATGTCCAGAAGTGTTGCATGAATATGTATGTGTGTCCTGGGACACAATACTGACACCTCCCTTAGAGGGAGCTGAAAGTGGGCTGTGTATCGTAAGGGTGGGCTGGGTATCGTAAGGGTGGGCTGTGTATCGTAAGGGTGGGCTGGGTATCGTAAGGGTGGGCTGGGTATCGTAAGGGTGGGCTGGGTATCGTAAGGGTGGGCTGGGTATCGTAAGGGTGGGCTGGGTATCGTAAGGGTGGGCTGGGTATCGTAAGGGTGGGCTGGGTATCGTAAGGGTGGGCTGGGTATCGTAAGGGTGGGCTGGGTATCGTAAGGGTGGGCTGGGTATCGTAAGGGTGGGCTGGGTATCGTAAGGGTGGGCTGGGTATCGTAAGGGTGGGCTGGGTATCGTAAGGGTGGGCTGGGTATCGTAAGGGTGGGCTGGGTATCGTAAGGGTGGGCTGGGTATCGTAAGGGTGGGCTGGGTATCGTAAGGGTGGGCTGGGTATCGTAAGGGTGGGCTGGGTATCGTAAGGGTGGGCTGGGTATCGTAAGGGTGGGCTGGGTATCGTAAGGGTGGGCTGGGTATCGTAAGGGTGGGCTGGGTATCGTAAGGGTGGGCTGGGTATCGTAAGGGTGGGCTGGGTATCGTAAGGGTGGGCTGGGTATCGTAAGGGTGGGCTGGGTATCGTAAGGGTGGGCTGGGTATCGTAAGGGTGGGCTGGGTATCGTAAGGGTGGGCTGGGTATCGTAAGGGTGGGCTGGGTATCGTAAGGGTGGGCTGAATATCGAAAGGGTGGGCTGGGTATCGTAAGAGTGGGTGAGGTGGGCTGGGATAGGTGAAGAGGATGGAATGGCATTGTCCAGTACTGTCAATATGTTGGTATGGTCACTCACAGTACGAGTGGCACTGTCCAGTACTGTCGTTATGTTGGTATGGTCACTCACAGTATGAGTGGCACTGTCCAGTACTGTCATGTTGGTATGGTCACTCACAGTATGAGTGGCACTGTCCAGTACTGTCGTTATGTTGGTATGGTCACTCACAGTATGAGTGGCACTGTCCAGTACTGTCGTTATGGTCACTCACAGTATGAGTGGCACTGTCCAGTACTGTCGTTATGTTGGTAGGTCACAGTATGAGTGACACTGTCCAATACTGTCGTTATGGTCACTCACAGTATGAGTGGCACTGTCCAGTACTGTCGTTATGTTGGTATGGTCACTCACAGTATGAGTGGCACTGTCCAGTACTGTCGTTATGTTGGTATGGTCACTCACAGTATGAGTGGTACTGTCCAATACTGTCGTTATGTTGGTATTGTCGCTCACAGTATAAGTGGCACTGTCCAATACTGTCGTTATGGTCACTCACAGTATGAGTGGCACTGTCCAGTATTGTCGTTATGTTGGTATGGTCACTCACAGTATGAGTGGCACTGTCCAATACTGTCGTTATGGTCACTCACAGTATGAGTGGCACTGTCCAGTACTGTCGTTATGTTGGTATGGCACTCACAGTATGAGTGGCACTGTCCAGTACTGTCGTTATGTTGGTATGGCACTCACAGTATGAGTGGCACTGTCCAGTACTGTCGTTATGTTGGTATGGCACTCACAGTATGAGTGGCACTGTCCAGTACTGTCGTTATGTTGGTATGGCACTCACAGTATGAGTGGCACTGTCCAGTACTGTCGTTATTGTGTATGTTCACTGAATTCATTTGAGTTGCTGTAAATAATAATAAAGAAAAGAATAATTACAAATCTATCCTCTCATTGGAAGCAACGTTTCGCCCTATGTAAGACTATAAATCTGTATGTACACAAGAAGGAAACGTCTCGATCAAAACTTGGTACGCAAAGTGTGCATATTGACTTCTACCATTACTACTGCTGCTTATACTAACACAACCTCTGCTGCTGTTACCACTACAGTTGTTACTACCACAACTGTTACTACTACAACTGTTACTACTACAACTGTTACTACTACAACTGTTACTGCTACAACTGTTACTACTACAACTGTTACTACCACAACTATTACTACTACAACTGTTGCTGCTACAACTGTTACTACTACAACTGTTACTACTACAACTGTTACTACTACAACTGTTACTACCACAACTATTACTACTACAACTGTTGCTGCTAAAACTGTTACTACTACAACTGTTACTACTACAACTGTTACTACTACAAGTGTTACTACTACAACTGTTACTACTACAGCTATTACTACTACAACTATTACTGCAACTGTTACTACTACAACTATTACTACAACAGGTGTTACTACTGCAACTGTTACTACTACAACTGTTACTACTACAGCTATTACTACTACAAGTGTTACTACTACAACTGTTACTACTACAGCTATTACTACTACAACTATTACTGCAACTGTTACTACTACAACTATTACTACTACAAGTGTTACTACTGCAACTGTTACTACTGCAACTGTTACTACTACAACTGTTACTACTACAGCTATTACTACTACTATTACTACTACAACTGTTACTACAACTATTACTACTAGTAGTAAGACTATTTTACTTCATTTTCTACTCACCGATATGACGTGGTCGTTCTTGTCACAGGTATTGTAGGGTCGAGACATAATGAGAACAGTATGGGTATCGTTTTCATAGCCTCCAACCAGCATCCAATCTCTCTGATCGTCCACTGAGGGCTCCTGATTCCCCCTCCCGTGTCTGTCCTGCAGGTACGCCTTTCCTGAGTGTACCCACCTGTAGGAAATCAGTAATCTGAGTGGCGTAAGGTAGTAAAAGGGAGAATAGGAGACACGTAGATGAAGGAGATGTTTGTGGAACACAGAAGTGTATTGTTTATCTACGTGTCGGTTTATCTACGGTTAAATGCATTAGTAGAAGCCTGAAGGGGAGCTGGAGAGGATGGGAAGAAAGATGATCTAAGAAGAGACGGTGATGGAATGAAGGGCTGAAGAGGATGAGAGGAGGGAAATCTTGTTTGTGGACGAAGGAAATAGATAAAGTGGAAATAGAAAAGGGAAAGTTACACTGGGAGGAAGAGGACTGAGAATTAGATGAGGCGAGGAAATGAGAGGGATGGGGAGAGAGAGAGAGAGAGAGAGTTATTTTCCCTAGACAGTAATTAACATAGCTCATAGAATATATCCTTTGAAGCTTTTTTTACCAAATCACTTTTACAGGCTACCTGGTGTATATTGTTATTATCCTACCTCAGTTTATTTACAGGCTCGGAACTGTTATTATCCTACCTCAGTTTATTTACAGGCTCGGAACTGAAATTATCCTACCTCAGTTAATTTACAGGCTCGGAGCTGTTATTATCCTGCCTCAGTTAATTTACAGGCTCGGAACCGTTATTATCCTACCTCAGCTTATTTCAAAGCAGAGCTCTATCTAAGGCATACTACCACCCTCAGGATGCCACCCACACCAGTCGACTAACACACAGGTACCTACTTACTGCTAGGTGAACAGGGACAGCAGTGTAAGGAAACATGGTAAAAAGTATTATGGGCAACGTGAATCCTATTTCTGGGGTCAAACCCCCATCACTACACACTCTTAGGGGTTTTCTGACCCCTCTTGGTTCAGTGACTCCTCTTGGACATTATAAACGTAATGTGCAAAATCCTACATCCTGGATGATGTGTGGAGAGTGGCACCCTGCTGTCAGACTCGTGTTTATGTGCTAGAACTGTGTGTGAGAGATGCCAATACGCCCTGTGTTTGTGCCAGAACTGTGTGAGAGAGATGCCAACACGCCCTGTGTTTGTGCCAGAACTGTGTGTGTGTGTGTGTGTGAGAGAGAGAGAGAGAGAGAGAGAGAGAGAGAGAGAGAGAGAGAGAGAGAGAGAGAGAGAGAGAGAGATGCCAACACGCCCTGTGTTTGTGCCAAAACTGTGTGTGTGTGTGAGAGAGAGAGAGAGAGAGAGAGATACCAACACGCCCTGTGTTTGTGCCAGAACTGTGTGTGTGTGAGTGAGAGAGAGAGAGAGATGCCAACACCCCCTGTGTTTGTGCCAGAACTGAGAGAGAGAGAGATGCCAACACGCCCTGTGTTTGTCACTAGTCACCACCTTCCTCCAGAGTTAAGGGAGAACTGGCAGTATGCTCGGTAAACCACAGACAAAAATTTAACCCAAAAAATGAAGAAGCGAGTTAAACTTACCGAAGAACAGTGCTAAAATATGGCGAACCTTTTAAGTGTAAAGAATAGCAAGGTCCAGTAAAGTGACGGGTACAATACATAAATAACACGCATAGGTTTATACTTTGTGTGAGTTACCTGTGTACTCTTAAATGTACATAATGACTTATTAGAGTAAGTGGTGGACGGGCAAGTGGTGAACATTGAGAAGTGATACCACTTAATGCAGTCGTATAGCACAGGACTGAAATGGCTTCAGTCCAATGCTTCGTTTTGTGGTCGTATTATATTATTGTAAATTAGACACGTGTGCCACAGTTGGATATCTTTACTGAGGAAACGTTTCGCCAAAGGACCCCAATGGAAATAAGTCACTGTCTGCCTTTTTTGGGTTATCCCAGGTTTTCTACACGTATGCTGCTATGTATGATAATCTATGTAACTATTTGTGTGAAATTATGACACATGTGCAACATCTGGGTATCTTTATTGTAGACGTTTCGCCATCCAGTGGCTTTATTAATACAAATTCCAGGACATAATTTGAAGGCAGTAGAAATATGTACAGAAGATGAGGTAATCAGTCCCTCAACTTAGGAGTAGGTGCGAAGAACACCATAGTCGTGGAATCTCCACGACTACGGTGTTCTTCGCACCTACTCCTAGTTTGAGGGACTGATTACCTCATCTTCTATACATAGTTCTACTGTCTTCAAGTTATGTCCTGGAATCTGTATTGATAAAGCCACTGGATGGCGAAACGTCTACAATAAAGATACCCAGATGTTGCACATGTGTCATAATTTCATCTTGTCGGTATTATATACCATTCTTACACAACTATTTGTGTATACCTGAATAAACTTACTTACGCACAGTGGCTTCATCGGTCCAAAGGAGAATGGTGAAGATCAGAAGGAGTTTGAGGTAATCAGTCCCTCAGTCTGCTTCTGATCTTCACTCTTCTTTGTACTGGACTGATGAAGCCACTGTGTGGTGAAATGTTTCCAGGTATGGTACATGTTTCTAATTTATCAACTTATCACTTATGTAAAATATTGTTCCGTGTGCCGTAGCTTGATTGGTAGCGCACTCAGCTCACACATTGAGATCCTTGGTTCGATTCCCGGTGCGGGTGCAAACGTTAGGACGTATTTCCTTAAGACACCTGCTGTCCATGCTCACCTAGCAGTAAAATAGGTACCTGGGTATTAGTGGACTAGTGTGGGTTGCATCCTGGGAACAAATTTACCTAATTTGCCCTAAATGCTGTGCATAACAAGGAGCTTTCTATACAGTAATATATCACTGATGTCAGTTATGGTCTGTATAAGTTGTATCATGTACTTGTAGAAATAAAGATTATTATTATTATTTATCTACATATAATTTATACTGTTTTCTGGGACTGGGATCTATTGATGCTGCAGCATCGGTTGAATAGACCAAACTTATGATCCCTCGGCCTTTCATACCCATCAACCAAAACAGGAAACATTTGGGTTGTAGGGGAAATTTGGTACATTACTACCAGCATTTGGGTCAATAAAGGGACAGTGGCCCTCTGAGAGGAGTGTCTTGATGCCTGTGATGGGGTTTGATGTGAGGACTGCTAGCTAACATCCCCTTCCTTAAATGTTACCTAATTACATCCCATTTTCCAGGTGAGGTGTTATCCCAGGTCGTCCAGCGTTTTCCCCATTTAAAAATGTGTCAAAACACCAGCGTAAGGATAGAGGGATGCTTGAATAGTGTGAAGCTTGGATTGAGGGATGCTTGGATTAAGGGATGCTTGGATTGAGAGATGCTTGGATTGAGGGATGCTTGGATTAAGGGATGCTTGGATACAGGGACACTTGGATACAGGTACACTTGGCCACTTACCCGACGACGATATCGGCGCCATCCATCCTGGGTTTGGATGAGAGACCAAATCCTATGTAACCCGTGGTTCTTGCTGTCACCCGGAACTCTATACTTTCCTCCCGCGGTGACCACTGTACCACGAAAGCTCCCGTCTCCTCCAGCCGCGCCTCGTGCTCCCACGACTCGAAGGACGTCAGTCGTGGCGTGATGAAGGAGGACGTCGCGAACGACATAACCTGAGGCACCAGTAGTAAAACGGCAAGTACTCGAAGGAGGCGCAGCAACGAGAGGGTCGTCGGAAACAAACTGGAGGAGGAAGAGGAAGTTGAAATCCCACAAGAACTGTTTTGGCGTCCAGGCGTTTGAGATCTGCGTGTTTGGGTTGTCATTGTTTTGGTTGGAGTGTTGGAACATTGAGGATGTCTTGTCTGGGTATAAAAATATCTATTCCTGGAGCGAGAGGATGGGCAGGGAATGCAGGAGGAAAGGGTTGTGTGTGCTAACTCCATGGTTCTTAGCAGAGGTGGAGAGTTGAAGGGATTTGTTTTGTTGGTGCTATCTTCCACTGCGTCGCCTTCTTCGTAGGGACATTCTCAGCCTCGTTCAGGTGAGTGAAGAGCTGTAATATGCGTCTTAAATAATAATCTTGAGACCTCTTAAGGCTTAGCAGCTGCTTTCTTAGGAACCAAGTGAAATCTACCAAGACGAGAGGTAAAAATTTACCAAGCCAGGCCGTGGTCTGAATAAGATTATACCCCCTGTACACTTTATTTCCTTTATCCTTCAAAGGAAGAAAACCACTTTATAATTCATCAGTTGAATCCTCTAATATGAGACTTCCAAAGGCAATAACAAAGGCGGGGAGCCCTTACAACTTAACGGGCTAAATTATGGTATGTGGAAATTTCTCTCTCGACCATCTGAAGCGAGCCACGAGCCTTTGATCCCCACTGACTTTTTGGATCTGTCAGACATTCATTCTCCAGCGTGTGTAATGTATACTTAGGATCGGGGAAGCTTGTGAAGGAGCTCTGAGGTGAGAGTGAGGAAGAAAGTAGCCAGCTAGGGATGTTATGTGGCCGGAGTCACCTTTGTTGACACTTCAGAAAGATACCTTATGAAACGGGAATCCGCTTCCACCACTCCACAGGATGTGTTAGGAGGAATGGAATCAGCCGCTTCTGGTACTCCAGAGAGAGTATGTTATGATGAATGAGTCGGCTTATATTTGGTACTCCAGAGTACTTTATGAGGACAGGTATCAACCTCTCGTACTCCCGAGTCTGTTTCTCGTGTGTGCTTCATCCATTCTCCAGTTAACGATCTGTGGAAACTCGCAGTTATTCCCGGAGCCTCCAGTTATTCCCGGAGCCTCGCAGTTATTCCCGGAGCCTCGCAGTTGTTCCCGGAGCCTCGCACTTATTCCCGGAGCCTCACACTTATTCCCGGAGCATAGCACTTATTCCCAGAGCCTCTCAGTTATTCCCGGAGCCTCGCACTTATTCCCGGAGCCTCGCACTTATTCCCGGAGCCTCGCAGTTATTCCTGGAGCCTCGCAGTTATTCCCGGAGCCTCGCTATGACCACTTTATCAATCAGCCTGAAAAGACGAGAGAGAAATATATCAGTACAAACCACTAACTTTGACCAGGGAAGACAAGGTGATACATTCCAAGTTGCGAAAAGTACATATGATTGATAATCAGATCAAAAAAGAAATGAAAAGTGTCTTAGGTAACATATATATATATATATATATATATATATATATATAATATATATATATATATATATATATATATATATAGATATATATATATATATATATATATATATATATATATATATATATATATATATATATATATATATATATATATATATATATATAATGCCGAATAGGTAAAACTAGCTATTTTGACTTAAATAACAACGCTCTTCTTGCAGAATAAGGCAAACGAAAATTTGTGTATGCAATAATTTCGCAAAAATCATTCTGAACCTAACGAAAAAAAATACATTCCATTGTGTTTGTTTATTATTTATTATTAAATTATTATAAACTTATCTAAATTATATTTAGTTGGATTAGGCTAAATTCAATTGCGCTTGTTATAATAAGGTCAGGTAAGTTTCCTAAGGTTAGGTTAGATTAGACTAGGTTACACTAAGTTTGGTTAGGTTAGGTTTGACTAAAACCATACCATGGGCGGGGTTTGAACCCGCGATCAGAGAGTCTCAAAACTCCAGACCGTGGCGTTAGCCACTGGACCAGCTAGCCACAATAAGATTCGTCCAACTAGGTATATTTCTACACCATAGGAAGGTTAGCATAGGCACCTCTGTGACCACAAATGCAAGTTTTTACAGACGAATCTCCAGCTAGCGTGGCCGTGACGAACTCTAGCTCAAGTCCCTTCACTGCCGTTAACATGACTCACGAAATCGTAATGACACGATTGCAAACAAACCATACCACGGGTGGGGATAGAACCCGCGATCAGAGAGTCTCAAAACTCCAGACCGTCGCATTAGCCACTGGACCAGCTAGCCACAATAAGATGCTTCAGTGGCTAACGCGACGGTCTGGAGTTTTGAGACTCTCTGATCGCGGGTTCTATCCCCGCCCGTGGTATGGTTTGTTTGCAATCGTGTCATTACGATTTCGTGAGTTAGGTTAGACTAGGTTACGCTAAGTTTGGTTAGGTTATGAGAAAAAAAAATTCTCAGAATTCAGAAAATCTAATGAAGCATTCAGGTAACGTGAGCAGGAACAATCTGAGTGTGTGCTCAGGTGAATAGGAATAATCTGAATGTGTACTCAGGTGAATAGGAACAATCTGAGTGAATATGTTGGTAGAATTACCGACAGTATGTTAGGTAAAAGAACACAAGTGCAACTAATGTGACATTGTGGCAACGTTTCGCTCTCCAGGAGCTTTGTCAAGCAACGACTTGATAAAGCTCCTGAAGAGCGAAACGTTGCCACAATAAAATGTCATATAAGTTGCACATGTGTCCTTTTACCTGACAATGTAAGTGAAGAGTTAGGTCAGGTGAGCAGAAACAATCAGAGGAAACACTCAGGTAAGATAAGCAGGAACAATCCTGGGAAAGCACAGGGATTTTAGCTGCCAGATGCGAGACCCTTGAAGCTTACGCCAGGTAAATGTCAGGTAAATGCCTGGTAAATGCCTGGTAAATGCCTGGTAAATGCCACATTGAGAACACCTTGTCTCAGCTGCGAGAGGTGGATGGAAGAGGAGGAAGAGAAGAGGGTACGAGGAGAGGAAGAGGAAGACTACGACGATTGAAGAGGGTTATTGAAGTGATAGGAGTGACTAAGAGACGAATCTTCACCCCTTTGCTACCACTAGTAGGTGAATTTCTGTCTCTCTGTCTCTCTCTGTCTCTGTCTCTGTCTCTCTCTCTCTCTCTCTCTCTCTCTCTCTCTGTCTCTCTCTCTGTATCTCTCTGTATCTCTCTCTCTGTATCTCTCTCTCTGTATCTCTCTCTCTCTCTCTCTCTCTCTCTCTCTCTCTCTCTCTCTCTCTCTCTCTCTCTCTCTATCTATCTATCTATCTATCTATCTATCTATCTATCTCTCTCTCTCAGCTTGCAGGAGCTGTGAATCGACCCCTGCAATCATATATAGGCTAGTGTAAACACACACACACACACACACACACACACACACACACACACACACACACACACACACACACACGTACGTACGTACGTACGTACGTAGGTTTCCTGTTAAAATCTTTGATAAGTGGTGTCAGTAGTTAATGGTGTGGGACCTGCATTATGTCTGACTCCCCTCACTCTCCCCTTCCTTCCCTTTCCCCTCACCCCCTCCCTCACCTACTACTTACCCTCACCCCCTCCCTACCCTCACCCCCTCCCTCACCCACTACCTACCCTCACCCCCTCCCCTCACCCCCTCCCCTCCCTCACCCCCTCCCCTCCCTCACCCCCTCCCCTCTCCTCACTCCCTCCCCTCCCTCACTCCCTCCCTCACCCCCTCCCTCACCCCCTCCCCTCCCTCACTCCCTCCCTCACCCCCTCCCTCACCTCCTCCCCTCCCCTCCCTCACCCCCTCCCTCACCCCCTCCCTCCCTACCCTCACCCCCTCCCTACTAAGGACACATTTAATTAACGTCAGAAAAAGCACGTATTAATAGAACTGGAAATATTGTGAGCGCGTGTGCGCGCGCGCACTCAGTTGTTTTTTCTGTGGTCGAGAACCCTTCAAGGAAGGTTCCTTGATGTTGGTGAGGGGCTCTTGATTTAGGGAACTGGATCTGTGCTCCAGTTCCCCGAATTAAGCCTGAATGCCTTCCACATCCCCCCCCCCCCAGGCGCTGTATAATCTTCCGGGTTTAGCGCTTCCCCTTGATGATGATAATAATGTGTTCGAGGAACTGCTTCTGACTACTACTACTACTACTGCTACTACTACTACTACTACTGCTACTACTACTACTACTACTACTACTACTACTACTACTACTACCACGGGCTATTACTATTACTACTGTTAATATTACTACCATTACTGTTACTATTATTATTACTGCTTATACTGTTTTTACTATTACTGTAATTACTATTATTATTATTACTACTACTGCTGTTACTATTACAGCTATTACTATTATTACAACTACTGTTATTGCTGTTACTCTTATTATTACTGCTATTACTACTGATACTATTTCTTCTGATGCTACTACTGCTACTATTACTACTACTACTACTACTACTGCTACTATTACTACTACTACTGCTACTATTACTACTACTACTACTACTACTACTACTACTACTACTGCTACTATTACTACTACTACTGCTACTATTACTTTACTATTCCATCTGTGTGTTGTTCCTCTTTAACCGAATTATGTTGTGTGGGGGTCATCGCCCCCACGGCCCGGTCCTAGACCAGACTTCCTAGTGGATCATCACCTGATCAACCAGGCTGTTATTGCTGGCCACAGGCAGTCCGACATACAAACCACAACCCGGCTCATCAGGTACTCTGTTCCTCTGTTATGGAACGGAGGTGTAAGATACGGAAGAGGTGAACAGTGTAGGATACGTGGAAAGGAGAAAGGAAGGGGCATTAGAAGAAGGGAGATTGTCGTAAGGGAGAAAGGAACAACTTATGAAGGGTGTAGGAGTGGTGGAGGGAAGGAGTGGTGGAGGGAAGGAGTAGTGGAGTGAAGGAGGGGGGAAGGAGTGGTGGGGTGAAGGAGGGGGAAGGAGTGGTGGAGTGAAGGAGGGGGAAGGAGTGGTGGAGTGAAGGAGGGAAAGAGTGATGGAGTGAAGGAGGGGGAAGGAGTGGTGGAGTGAAGGAGGGGGAAGGAGTGGTGGAGTGAAGGAGGGAAAGAGTGGTGGAGTGAAGGAGGGGGAAGGAGTGGTGGAGTGAAGGAGGGAAAGAGTGGTGGAGTGAAGGAGGGGGAAGGAGTGGTGGAGTGAAGGAGGGAAAGAGTGATGGAGTGAAGGAGGGGGAAGGAGTGAAGGAGTGGTGGAGTGAAGGAGGGAAAGAGTGGTGGAGTGAAGGAGGGGGAAGGAGTGGTGATATGTCTGAGGGAGAGAATTAATGTGTGAGTCACGAGTCATCTTTGCAGCTGCTTCCTCCTCCTCCTCCTCCTCCTCCTCCTCCTCCCCGTCTTTATCCCCTCTTCCTCCTCCTCTTTCTCCTTCTCCTCTTCCTCCCCCTCTTCCTCATTCTCTTCCTCCCCCTCTTCCTCATTCTCTTCCTCCAAACTGGACTTCCTTGTGTTTCTCTCCATTCTTCCATCATAATTATTACTTATTAAATTACCACCACTACTGCTACCACCACTGCTACTACCACCATCACTACCACCATCACTACTACCACCACTACTACTGCTACCACCACTACCACCACCAATACTACCACCACCACCACTACTACCACCAATACTACCACCACCACCACACTACTACTACTACCACCACCACTACCACCACCACCACTACCACCACCACCACTACCACCACAACCACTACTACCACCACCACCACCACTACTACCACCACTACTAACCACCACCACTACTACCACCACCACTAACTACCACCACCACCACTACTACCACCACTACTACTACCACCACCACTTCTACCACCACTACTACTACCACCAACCACTTCTATCACCACCACTACTACCACCACCACTACTACCACCACTAACTACTACTACTACCACCACTTCTATCACCACCACTACTACCACCACCACCACCCACTACCCACCACCACCACCACCACTACTACTACCACCACCACCACTACTACTACTACTACCCACCACCACCACTACTACCCACCACCACCACTACTACCACCACCACTACTACCACCACTACTACTACTAACCACCACCACCACCACCACCACCACTACTACTACTACTACTACTACCAACCACCACCACCACCACTACCACCACTACTATTACTACCACCACCCACTACCTAGCACCACCACCACCCACTACCTACCACTACCACCACTACTATTACTACCACCACCCACTACCTAGCACCACCACC